CTTCATCTATGTAATTGATGTAAATCACAAAATGCAAAGGTCTCAAGACTGAGCCCTGAGGTACCCAACTTGTGACATTAATCCAGTTTGACTGAACTCCATTTGTAACAGCCCTCTGCTTTCTTCCATCCAGCCACTCTTCTATCTAACTTGCTAACTTATCCCCCACACCTACAGAGATGATTTTTTTACAAGCCTTTGATGTGGCACCATGTCAAATGCTTTCAGAAAATCCAGATACACAAAATCTACACCCTTACCCTCATCTACATAAGTAGTAACATTTTCAAAGAATGTTAAAAGATTTGTAAGGCAAGATTTTCCCTTAGTGAAACCATGTTGACTATCCAATAAAATTCTAAACTTTGTTAAATGATTTTCCAAAGCATATTTTAACAGACTTTTCAAAATTTTTCCCACAATTGATGTAAGACTAATGGGTCTATAAATATTGGGACAATTTTTATCACCTCCCTTGAAAAGAGAAGTTGCATTAGCTAACTTCCAATCCTCTGGTATCTGCCCACTATTCAAGGACTGACAAAAAATAGTAGCAAATGGCTCACATATCCAATCTTTAACCTCCTTCAAAACCCTTAGGGAAATATCATCTGGCCCAGGAGCCTTATCATTTTTTAAACTTCCCAATTTTTTCTTAACCAGCTCAGAATTAACACAGTCATCTTGTTTCCATTTATCAACTGATTAAGATATGGAATACTGCTTAAATCTTCATTAGTAAACACCGAAGTAAAAGTAAACTTTTTTGCCATCTCATAATCATCAGTCACTAGCCTTCCTTTATCATCTCTCAGGGATCCTATCCCTATCCTAACATTTTGTTTCCCTGTAATGTATTTAAAGAAATCCTTACTGTTAATTTTTACATTGTCAGCCAATAGATCATATACCAATAAAAAATGCAGTGGAAATTACTTTCATTTTAAATAGATTCTGGTGAAAACTTTACACTGACAGTATAACATACAATGTAATGTAAATTTCATCACTGTATAGTACTTTTGATACACTGGATTACAATAAACCCACCATATTCACACCATCAATCTACATTGCTGGCAATATTGAGGCACTGCATACTGTCTTTGTCGATCTTTTCTTAAAACAATATGAAGATGATTCTTTACCTAATAAAAGAAAAATAAATACACACATTAATCTTGGTTTTAACTCCAAAGTAATAGGTATTAGCCATATGTTATATGAATAATAATTATATAAAGTTTAGATTATATAGCTTCACTTCCTAGACATGATTATTTGTGTAAAATAGATTCCACACATTCAATATTGTATGTTACAATAAAATCTGGCTGGATGTTGTAGGTCTGATAATGAGAAAATGATGTGGGGGATGAGTTTGATGTAGTAGAGCTAGTGATTTTATCCAATGCAATCTTTGTTTGTGTCTCTTGAAATGTTAAAACAAAATAGTTAGATGTGACAAAATAATACAAATTTGTGATGTCACACTGTAAACCAGATATACAAGGGAAACGTCATTAGTCACACTTAATTTATTGTTACGTCAAAGTTTGTGCTGTGATTTAGATTTCATTATGACCTTTTTTGATACACATATTAAACTATTAAAAAAGAAAAAAAACATGTATTACTTAAATATGTGAAATTTTACTAACTATATATTTAAGGTCATCCATTGAAGTCTGAAGGTTCTTCTTCATCACTATCAAATTCAGCCACTTCATCCTTGACCCAGCATCCTACCCAATCTTTTTTCCACCCTGACCTACAAGCCATTATAAAATTTCTTAATCCTTTTATCCACCAATCTCTGTTTTATCTTATTTCATAAAGCAATATTTATATTTTAATCACTCACATAAGCACTTCAGTACTATATTAACACATACTTGTTTTTAAGCCTACTAGTATTATAAAAAAAACGTATAAATATTAAATCATATTCTTTATTTAATCCTATAAAGCAATTACTTAAATTATGTTTAGAATTACTTTTGTCCTACAATATACTTTACCTATTCCTTATGTTTTTATATACATTGTACACTACTTATATTTATACTTTACCCAACTTAACAAATTAAATAAGCTTAGTTTCTACACAGCAATACCATTTAGAATGTTTCAGCATTTGGTTACATTTTCAGTTGAAGATATCATCACAACAGTTCATATATGTCTCAAATGCTTTTTTTCATGGGAAAAGGTTGTCATCTGTATGTTTGATGAAAAATTAGATTTTAACCTTAATATCTGAAGTTAATAGTACAGAACTTAAAGTGGTTTGGCCAATACAATATCCAGAAAATTATAAAAAAGCATTAAAATTGCCTATCAATAATAATGTAGCATTAGAGATTTTAAACAATACAAATTTTGTGCTAGTCGGTTCACCTTATGTAGAGAAACTTTTACTTGGAAATGAATTCTTCCTCCCATTTGTGTCAAAATTTTGGTGAACATCCACTGTTTTTAGCAAAGTAATTTACCTACAGAAGACCTTTTCCCAGTGCTAAACATCCATAAAATATCTCAGTTGCAAGTGCAGGATTGAAAGGTGTTATGTTTGCATAAAATACAAACATTGCAGATGTGGTTACCATGGGGTTTCAGAAAAAAAAAGGATTTTGTCCAGAATCTAATCAACACGAAACTGTGAAGCAGAAGAAACAGTAAGCATAAGATATTTTGTTCTTCTCATTGTAACCACTTTAATTGTTTTAGATAACTCAGAGATCGAACAAACTTGGATATGATGGATGAGACCTCAACCAACAAAAGTAATAAGAAATAGATGAACATTTATTGTCATTTTATACTGAGTGCAAATCAATGTCAAAAGTTGCCTTTTCATCAACACTAAAAGATGTTTGGAGTTTCACAGAATTGTTTGAAGAAAGAAATCAAATCCTAAACTTATGCAAAAATTTATATGAGAAATTGGTCTAACATATTTTCTCTTGTTTAAATTTGTTACCAAATGATGGTGGATTTTGTAAAATCAACTTGAAAGTTTTGAGATTAAAAAGTACTATAGTAACTTATCATACGAGTGCCACTAGTTGTAGATCTTGAGATCACAAATTCTAACGTGCCACATACATAGTATAATGAACTTCAAATGAGAATAACACCCATTACAATAGTGATAATACTATCAAAACTTTCAGAATTGGCATCAAAATACCAAACTTATCTATATATATATAGTCAAATCTATCAACACTTATAATATTATCATATATAACTTCTGATAAGCAAGCTAACTCTATACAACACAACGAAAAATAAATCTACATATTAATCAAGATAACTCTATGAAACAGACTTGAAATACATGATATAAATCAATGAACAAAATGTCTAAAGTCTGTTATGAATAAATTTCATTGATTCATTAGTTGAGTACTTCACTATAAAGAATTATTTTAGTCACAAAACAAATGGTCTCAAAAGGTGTCACCAGGTTAGGTGACTTAGATTATTCCTAAACCTATATACTAAACTTGCAATGTATAAAACTAACTTCATGAGTATCATCATTGTTAATGATAAAAAATAACAACAATAATATTCAGAATTATTTTAAACTTATAATAAAAGAATATGATGTGGATTAAAGAAAAACCTTTATCTATTTTGGGAGAAAGAGTCAAAAGGTTACATTCATAAACAGATTATATGGTAAGAATAAATGCATATGTACATATCCGTACAAACAATATACATTGTATAAATAAATTGTAATCTATAGTGGTTGAACAAAAAAGGCAATACTAACTCTCGAAGCTTCAAGTAATACTCAGTTTTTTTACGTTTCTCTTCCAGAACTTGATTTGTAATAATTGTTTCTTCCACCTGTTCTACTGATGGTGTTGAATCATTTTCATTAGGTTTTGGATTTTCATGCTTCGAATCGGTTCTTGAAGTTTGAGGTTCTTTCCACAGAGCCTGAACTGGTTGAACACAGTTGTTCCTGGACTGATGTACAACTTTAGAAAAATCCCTTTTCTTTTGAAGTTTTTTCATGTAAGTTCTTACCAATGAATTCACAGATGGTCCATTTGAAGGTCCTGTAGGTTCTGTGTTATCACATGTTGCTGGAGTTGACTCATCAGCTGGCAAAGAACCTTCAGAAATATCACAATAAGAAATAAGTTATTTTATAGGAGTCCATGAAAAAAAACCAACAATGTTGTTCTTATGTAGGAGATGACACTACTTTGCAGTATGACTTTGACAATAGATGAAACTAACAATATCAAATAAGGTTTTCCAAAGTTGAAGATAGTGAAATTGTCAAACAACTGTCAAATGAAACAAAAATTGAAAATACTCAAAATAAAATTAATTAAGAATTTGAGATATTTACTCATGCAATTTTTCAATACAAGTTAAAAAAATAGCATTTGTATCAAGTCTGAATTTCTTACATTATAAAACAATGTTTCAGTTAATGCTTTTACACTAGTCTTAAAAAATAATTTTTCTCATCCAAGTAGTTGAAAAAATAAATGACAAGAAGATAAAAAATATAAAATCAACTATCCTGTTATGTTTTCATGAGGCTTCAGCAATTATCTACATGACACATCTACATCTAGTAATATACCAGATACAAACATAAAGTTGTTATTTTGGGATTCTAGGCACCACATACAGAATAGGTTTGAAGTTTTATGTATGAAATTTCTGCTTTGGCTTTTTTCTGAAGTGGATGACTTGATCTCAGTATAAAAATACCTTTCAAGTCAATGTTGTTTCCTTTGTGAAAGTAGTCTAATTCCACTGCTTGTGTTCTAGTGTTTATTAAAGTAACTAGCATATCAAACAATGGTATATTTAATCAGCTATACTAATGTCATTGTCCTTAAATGTGTTGTTCAGGAAATATGGATGTACATAGATTGCCGATTTTTGGACTTTGGCCTTGCTAGTATTGGTTATTATTTTATGTAAATGGATACTTTAAGTTTTCATTAAAATTCTCAAGAAGTACAGTCATATCTAGAATCCCTAGCACATCATCTCACTTTCTCACTTGTCATATCAAACCCAAATTCCTAATAATCTCCTCAACAGAAATTATATTATTCAACTTTGTACATGAAAAATAAGATACAAGCCATCTTGAATAAAGTTCAAGTTTTTCAAAAACTCACAACTAAACACATTAAGAACATCTCTGAATAAACATACTAAGAACATTCCTCACTAAACACATAGAGAGCTCTCAACTAAACATACTAAGAACCTAAGAACTTCCAATTAAACATACTAAGAACTCTAAACTAAACACATTAACACATTCCTGACTAAACATACTAAGAACTCCCTACTAAAAAAATTAATAACTCCCATCTAAACACACTAAGAATCCCTGACTAAAGACACTAAGAACTCCCAACTAAACTCTTTTTAGTAGATGATTCCAAGTTCTGCTTGGTTAAGACTTGATCTTTCCATTTGTATTCTTAGAGCTTCTTTAATTTTCCCAAGTTTTCAGTGTTGTTCCTTGTCAATGAAAAAATAACTCTCCAGACCTGAAGAACTTAGCATGTAGCCAAAAACTAGGGGAGCACTCAGTAAAGTGCACACCTCTGCCATGCAGCATTGATCATATTCAACTCTCAAAAAATACAAAGATGTGTCCATATGTCCATCATTATCAATGGACACTGACTATTTTTGGCAGGACAATGAGGAATAATATTATACATATATCCACCAAGTTTCATTAAAATTTCATAATTTTTGCCTGATTTATAGAGCAAAAATAGTGTGAATTTTGTTACCTTGACCCACCAAAAACTAATCACTTCTAAGTTGGGTAATAGTTCAAATGTATACCAACTTTCTTCCAAATACATTTAGTCATTTTTGAGTAATTTTGCTGACAAACACACACACACACGGGTGAAAACATAACATTCATTCACTTTCAGTGGTAGAGGTAACAAAAGGCAGAAGCAGACAACAAAAATCATTCTCAATTCAATCAACATACATGTATTAACTCTTTCAGCACATGCTCGGTCCTTGGGACCGACCTCATAACCATTTTGTGCTTTTTACAGATTTCATGCTATAACTTTTAAATTAGTAAGCAAATGTTCACAAACTTTGGCAGATTATCAATAAACATTACAAGGATTTCATACTCAAAATATCAGATTTTTTTATCAAGTCTTAAGGTTTGTTAAACAATGTTTTTCTCATGCTTTTTTTTTTTTCACATGTTGCCTATCCAACATGCAAAGTAATTTTCATTTTAAGATTAAAAATACTTTTACACATCAAAAAAATTATCAAATTTCACATGTAAAATCTTTATAATGTCCAGACAATTATCAAATGTTTCTTAAGAAAAAACTTTATATTTTATCTGTTATTTTCACTAACGAATCTCTGTACAGGTTCGGCTTGACCAATCTCGTAACCACCATAAAAAATTAGGAAATATATAAAAATTATAACCTTTTTCTTTCTAGAATGACTACAAATTATAATGCAAAAACACAAATGTTTAGACTAAATAGCTTAAATCTCATAACATTATAGATTTACATATATTTATTATTTTTATTATATTGACCTGTCAGTCATGCCTGGCTAACAATACAGAAGTTACAATGATGCGGCACACATGCACTCATGTTACTGTATCCAATAATATAAAACTGACCTTTAGTCTTTACAAAGTGACTTGTCTTGGCTGTGTTTTAGTGGAATAGTAATTTGTAAAATACAATCACATTTCAATTATTATACATAATATATGTATATACATTATTACTATTTACAAATAACTTCTTAAACTTATTTTACTTAAAACATATAACAGTGGATAAAGAAGTAAAGCAAACAATTATCTCTTCTAGTTACGCCTTTGTACTCGTTTGGTGCTTGACGTAGG